CCCAGCCCCACAGAGTCCGGGGCAGCCCACCCGACTCCACCCCAGAGAAAACTGCACCCACCCCATCATCCAATCATCTCCCAAACTACACAAGACAATAGACACCCGGGTTGAGACCATTTCTGATGAGGCTTTGGTGATTATTAGATTAATTAAAGGGCCAGATGCATCTCTCAGGTTCTGTTTCAGGTTTTTGCTGGATTCTTTCCCGTCTTTGTTAACATGATATTCAGAAACTGATCATCTGCTGTGGATGCCTTTTTTTTTTAAAGTTTGCCACTTATTGTTTTGTCTTTGATTTGTTCAGTTTCATCAGATTTATTTTAAGAACACACTACATACCATGCTGAGATATGCCAAGGTTTGATCTAACAGGTCTTTGGGAATGAGCTTGTTGGTGCAAAAATACTCTTTTTAAGTCTGTTTTATCTTTGTTATTTTTATAGATTCAACTAAAGCAATGGGAGGAAAGATGGGCTCAAGGCTGTTGCACAGTACTGTACTTACATTTTGCTGCTACAGTTGGCTTAATTTACCTAATAACCAGTACTGCTTTTGCTGTACACTGCAGTGTGTTGTGGCTTATATTATTGACACATACAATAAAATGCCATTTATACAATAAAATACAATGAAGCAATTTAGTCTGTTTAAAATATAGATTTATTTATTAATTAAAAATAGAATCATGACATTTTATCACACACTGACTTTTCTGAATTGTATTTGCTCTTACAAATTTTTCATTTACATAAAACAAAATAATATGATACAAAAATAACAACGATTACAAACTTCAATTGAAACAGAATTCAAATTCTTGCATTCTGTGAATGCTCCAAAAGTACACACACACACACACACACACACACACACACACACACACACACACACACACACACACACACACTTTTAAAAACAACTAGAACTTTGAAAATTGACATTTTCTTTCTGTAGGCCCGCTTTTAGGTATTTCAGGTAATGCCAACCTGATGCATTAAGTGCAGTAATAGAACTGTCAGCACACTCTAAAATACAGTAGGGTGATAAAGTGCTTAATAAGATATGTTGCAATGGCACTTCAATGTCACATTGAGTCTTGGACAAGAAGTGCCTACAATATCAATCATAATATTAAAATACAACAGTTTTATAATTATTTCACACAGGTGTAAAGTAAATTGCTTTAATACAAGAGCAGCTCATAGAGGCAAGAGAGAGAGAGGTGAAAATAGTTTATCAAATATCAGCACAAAATTAAAATAAAAGGGTTTTTATGGTCTTTGGTAAAAAATTCCCCCATGCACTGTTTCAGTTGTTTCCTTTGCATTATGGCTGTAAAATCCAAGTCCGTAAGACATATAGTATATCAATACAGCCAAGATGAACACAGTGTTAATACAGGTAGAAGTAAAGAAACCCTGGGTATCATCTCTAAAAATAAAAATGTGATGTATTGATAGACATTAATTTATTAACACTCTTCCAGGTTCAAAGTTGGGGAAACTAAAAAACAAATCTATTGCTGAGCTCCTTTGCTTTCTCGTTGTTGTACTGCTGTTTTCATTTTTCCCTTCCTTGAGTAGATCTCAGTTTGCACCGTTTCCCACCAAATTTAAACTACTGGGACATGTGTACGATGTTTCCAGCATATGAAAGAAACAAGACTTCCTCCACCTGGAAAGCATGAAATTTTGCAATCTTTAGACTTTGAGAGCTAAAAATGCCAGCGTGCAGCAGCACATGCTCACTGACCTACCTACCCTCCAGACCTTCACCTGACACTGAAGCAATAGCTAAATGTTTGCTCACATTGCTGAGAATAACCTTGGATTTATATGCTGTTTGAGCCACAGTTGCCCAAATGATAAGCCAGGTTGTGTAAATAATACAGTGGAGATGCTGATTAAACATATTCCAGCTGCATGCAGCATGGGGTACCCTTTGACAGAAATCAGTCCAGATTTCTTGCATTGTAACAACAACTTGTTCCCCTCGCAGCCTCACAATGTGATCAAAGTATTTGTGGAATGTAAATGTATTTGCTTTAATGTTATCAGAAGTTAAAGAAAAAGGCACGCTTTAAAAAGTTTTTCATTGCTTTGAAAGCATTTCTGTAAAACAGCAGCATTTAGGTGGATGAAGATTTACAATGAAAGAAATAGTTGCGTAAAAATGAAAGTATAGAATATATATATAATTTTTTTTACATTTGGACACTGATTATAACACAAAACAGACTATAAAACATACAATGAATTAGGAAAAAAATGTAGTGCATCTTTGAACTTCATCCCGGCAGCATGTGAAAAGTAAAAGTTGTAAGGTACAAATGACAAAAGTGAAAATTAATTAATGCAAGACTTTATGGGTTTATATAAGTTTGAAAATGGAACCTGATATCATTACTGTACTTTTGTATTCACTGTACTTTTTTGCATTGAAATCTAAACTTTATTATTGAGTCTTTCATATTTTAGTGCTGCTCTTTGATTTTTGTCTCTGACGTATAAAAGAATAAATGTATCTGCATCCAGACTTAGCGTATTTGCTCACCTCTAGGCACTGAAATGCATTTGAGATTCTTTAAATACTGACTACAAGAGTTTAGAAATAAATTAAAAGTTACTACAAGCAGTAAACTGTATCAATACCTATTTCTTTAGAACATAATACTTATATACTCATAATATTCTTTTTTGTGCCCATAATTTTCTTAATGTAAACCTAGAGTGTTAATTCATACGTTTATGCAAAAATACACACAACACACCTATTGAGTAACTGCTATAAAACAAACGTGTTTGTATTTGTAAAGATAGTCTAGTAACATCCTCTGTCGATAATTTAAAAGTCTTTTGGGTGGGCATTTCTCATTTTAAAGTACTCTGTGTAAAAGTTGTTTGTCCAAAGTTGGTCAAATTTGTGTTTCTTTAAGTCAACTTGTCTACAATACACTCAAGAAAATAATTAATTATACCACTAATAGTAATATTCAATTTTTTATGTGCATCCACAGGTCTCCACTATCATGTCAGGGACATCTGTTTTGACAATGCTGTGCTGAGAGTTGAAGTAAACCATGGAGAGTGGTCGACGCTCTGTGGGAACGCAGCATGAGGCTGTAGCTGTGTTAATACCATTGACTTTGAGTTGGCTGAAGACAGTGGCATGGAATGAGGATGCTATACCTGGGGAACCGGACAGATGTTGGGGGCAATGTCCCATGCAGTAGTTCATATGGTAGCCTTCAGGCGCAATGATCCACTCATCCCACTGGATGTCTTTAAACTTGATGTAGAAGTCTCTCTTGCAGCAGACTGTTACATCGTCACCGCAACGCACTGAGCGCTTCCTGAGCAAATGCTTGGAGTGGTCATCACGGAGACGCACCTGAGCCACCAGGAAGGGCTGGTAGGGGGTTTCAGCAGAGCCATCTAGGGAGCAAAGGTTCTGTCCGTCTTCTTCGCAGGTGACCTCCAGCTGCAGCCGATGTTGGCCCCCGTCCAAGAAGGTTTGCAGGGTGTGGGTGACAGAGAAAGTGTGCCAGTTACTCTCCTTGACGTGCAACATCTTTTCCATCACCAAGGTCCGATTAGAGCCTGAGATGTCACCATCTACGGAGAGGAAAACCTGGGCAAGGAGACGAGAGTTCCGTTGTGGGTCCTCAGAGGCACGGGCATAGATCCACAAAGAGGACTGGAGGACCTGGATACTTTGGCCACGTTCCTGCAGAAACTGAAAGGTAAGGCTAACGCTTGCCTTGTCACTGCTCTTTGCATCATCTATGAAACAATGACAATTAAGAAAAACACACAATGTTAATATTTGGAAAAACTTCATAGCTCATCACCTTTCTTACCCTTATAAAATTAATGGAAGTAACAATCCTCTTTCACTGTTTTAAGCATTTTACCTTATGGTTAACTTTTCCTACAATACAGCACAAGGTATATTGTATTTAAATGTTTAGGCAGATTACATGTATATTTGATTTTAAATATAAAGACCCAAATGCAAGTCCTGGAGCAAGCAGCCATCTTCAGACTTCTTCAAATTTAAATGCACCGTTGCATTTTATGTTGTGAATATGTATAACAGATTTTGGAGACCCCAGCAACAGAAACCTTCTGAGAGAGGGCTTTTAGTCATTTGCACTCCTCTTTGCAGAAGCTGTCTATGCACTTCATACAGATTTTGATTTACATATTCATTCTTGTCCTCTTTGTCTGCCACCCAACTCCAAATCAGAATCCTATCACCACAAGCTGCACGAAATTACCTAAATTCACTTTTTATTACGTTCCCGTGTAAATCTTGTTAAAAGTGCAACAATGTAACATTGAAAGATAGATTCCTTTTAAAGCTTGCTTACCACCAGTTCATGTATTTCCACTTTAAAAGGCAATAAAATATGTAGTTTGCCCAAGGGGAGCAAACCTTTTTGCACATAAGTAACGATAGATACTTGGATCCTTAATATTACAATATAATAGTTCAGGGAACCCTAGCCTTATGTTAATATCTTACGCAGGAAAAGAGACCTTATTAATCACAACGCGCTCTCCTGTAGCGTTATTGTGCCATGCGAAAACAGCTTTATAGCATAGAAAGTAGATACAAGACTTACTTAGATCTGCAAAGCTCACTATTTCATAGGCTTGATCTCTGGTTGGTATATTGTTTTCTAGTTCAAGGGTACCATCCTGTCTGACGCGCCCCGAGTGAAGTTTGCGCAGCGCCGTGAGGAGCGCGACCCGGGGCACGGTGTGAGTGATGTTTGGTTTCTCTTTCAGGTGCAGTTTGTCCAAAAGTTGCTGCTTGGCGAATTCTATCATCATCCTTTCCTCTGCGTCCTTATCCATCGCTGACAACCTGCAAGACGCGCAGCCCGGGGAGCCACTGACCCAGAGACCCTTAAACAGCAACGGTGCCAACAGGAGGAACGCTGAGAGTGACAAAGACATGGCCATCTTCGATCTTGAAGTAAATAACTGCGTATTTGTACTCGGACTGAGGTAACTAATAAACGTCTAGACTTCTAAACTGGAAAACCAATAAAAAAAATCTTCAAATCCTTCCCCTTCTGAGTTGTTCTTTGCGAAAGAAAGTCTCCCGAACGTCAGAGGTCCTTGTTGGTAGCTCGTGAAGAGAGGAGCTGAGTGATGTTTCACCCTCCTGATGGTAAAGATATCTGGGGTAATCCACCAAAACTGGTGACACGTTGGAAGGATGCACCAATGAGCGCATCGGGAAGCTTGGAAATTACTGGCAAAACACCTCTGTCCTCTCTCACAACACACGCACGGGCACACGCAACACACACGCACGCAACACGCGTTCACATGTAGGTTACTGTCTCACAGTCGCTGCATACAGGTGCTACATGATATCACACGCTGCTTTAGATTAATTACTACGCAAGTCCATGGCTGGTTTGGACACATATCGGGAAAGCCCGATAAGGTCTTGAGTTTATCACAACAGGTATTTTCTGTGCCACGTTTCTCCACTTCAGTGCCACTGATACGTAACCTGCCAACGCTCTTGTCGATCAAAGTTGAAATTCTCTGCCCTTTAACCTACTTACAGAATATTCGTGTCCCACAGACACCAAGCAATTGAATCCGTGGGCTTTAGCTTAACCTGACCGAAAACACTCGAGGATATGAGGCGGAGAGTTTAACGCGGTATTTGAAACACGTTCCGTCATGTTTCCTGCAAGGTGTCATAATGTGGTGCAGTAAAACGATGCCTCGTGTGTGTATGTGTGTGTGTGTGTGTTTGAAGGAGAGAAAGAGAAAGCTGGGAAAAGGCGAATCCTGCCTTCATGTCGGTACATGATTTGTCTGTCTGGGTTCTCGCAAAAGTGCTGAGCCAGCTTGACATAGCCTACTAAAGATAACGCTGCCAATAAGCCGGACAGTGTATGCACTTAAATAGGCAAAAATACGTTAAAGTGACCCTCTTTTCATCATGTCGGGGTCCAGGTCCAGTGTGAGCAGGAAAAACAATGACTTCCACAATCATTTAACACATAAACTACATGCATATGCACATGGAAATAATAATTGTGAAACAGATTATCCTAAAGCGGTCACGTGTTGATTGTGCGCACATCTCCACAAACATAAACTGTATGGATCACAACACGGGTTGCACGCATTTTTATTTCTTTTATTTTCTTTGTGTTCACGTTTAGTGTTAAATGTGAGTCAAGGCCTTATCATGTTAAAGGAGTACTTGCCTGCCCACGTGTGGGGCATTTTGAGAATTACAACTGACCTCACCAAGTGGTGTCAAAGAATGTGCCCAATACATTTGAATAATTTAAACGTTAAATCAAATAAGCACGTCACATTTATTACCTAGAATTGTCAGCATTTTTCCTAGGGAGGTTTGAAAAATAAGGTTAAAACCAGCGTATTTTTAACTACTGCCGTGAATACAAACAATAATATATATATATATATATATATATATATAAAATGTTTATTAGATAGACTAGATGTTATAGGCTATAAGAAGAAAAATATCATCTTAAGAAATGTGAAATCGTTACATTTTATAGTATTTAAACAACTTTGAATGACACATCTCCTACAGAAGTGGACAGCTGTCAAATTACATCCCAGTAATAGATTTTCAAACATACATCACTGAGATGTAACGAAACTGCATATTACATTTTAACGCTTGATGCACAAAACAAAGTTCTCATGCATCCTGTAGGCTACGTATCCGTACGACTAGGAGGTACGCCGCTGACGTCAACTGTCGGTGAGGGGAAAAAAGTGACGCTAACACACACAAGCCGGAGCCCTGACGGGGGAATAGCGTTTTGTTTCTTTTTTCTTTAGTTTTGTGTCATTTATTCTTTAGGGTTTTGTTGTTATTTAGCAGTATTCCTGCGTCGGACTCGACCGCCGTGTTCTTCAGCGCTTGCTATCTCGCATTAACGTCCATGCTGCTCTCCCCTCACGCGGCGCTATTTTGACAGTCGGGGTCGCGTTGAGCCAACTCAAGCTAGCAGCACCATTATATTAGCATCGGTAAGTCATTTGGAAAGCTTGCTAACCGTACTAGCTAGCACCTTCTATTTTGAGACCTGACAGTGCTTGTACATGTCCACAGCAAGTTTCGCCATTCTGTGATCCACGGCACACTCTTATTGAACAGCGAGTTGTAATATTAACGTTGTGTTTCATGGACGCTGAGTAGCTAGCGTCCACTAAAAAGAAAAGGCTAGCTAGCGGGCTAGTATTAGCTAGGTAGCTAATTATACACGCCGGACGAGGCAGGCTAATGCTGTGAACTAGCTATTGTTAGCATAGAGGCAAGCTAATATTTTCAGTCAGCTGCACAGCTACGACTCTGACCAAACTGCCATCTGTCTTCTACAGACCCAAGTTGAAGGATTCTCCACGCAACTCAAGACATACTGCCAACAACACGGTAAGCCGAACCCGCGAAGATGACTCAAGAGCCACTATCTTTAATATGTAACGCAACGTTAAGCACCATCTTTAAAGTCCGCCTTCTCTATGCCAGGCACGAGATGGCCATGTTAACATTTTATCCTTCCAATCGTGACCGAGAAGGTTCACTAAAACCCTGGGAATATTTGCTTTTTCCGAAGCGATTAACTATCTGGATGAATCAAAATTAAGTAATTGTTAATTGCGTATGGCTCTTCATTGAAGTCATACTCAAAACACACACTGGATACAACAAAGTTTTATTTATTGACGTGTGTGACTTTCATATAACAACTCAAGACTTGAAACGTCAGCTAACAAGGTTGAGATATTAATACAAACCAACGGAAAGTTACAGAGCTGTAGTGTTTTTATAGGACTGAGTGCCGGTGGGTTGCATGGCGGAATGCAGGTTGTACTACAGTACTAAGCCGTCTTCACTGCTCCAAGCAATTTAAGGTTGTATTGTGTTAAGTGTTTTCATTAGCTTGCTTTTTGACATTCAAGTAAATATCAGTGATTTTAAGCCTTGGCTCTTCCAGTCTTAATTCCTTAATAATTCATTATTAGTGACTCAGAGCTGGCTAGAGATTTGTGCCCCAGTAAATCGCACTGTTGTAAGTGATCAAGAAAACAGTGGGGTTTTCTCAAGACATACTTCACACGTGGTCATCACTCTCCGAGTCTTGGCTTTAGCTTTACTTTTTTGAAACTCAATCCAAAAATAGGCAGCAACAGTGCTTTGAAAACAAGGTGGGATAACAGCATAGAATAAGTGGTTCAAACATCTGCTCTGGGAAAATGACATGTGTGCCTGGGAAAACAACAAAAAACTCCCCCCCCAACATATCAATTGGTGTTGGCCAGTCATGTGACAATGAGAACTGATAAGTGGCAAGCAGGGACTTTCATTTTAGTTCCATTTGATGTTGAGATTGTCATAAAAATGCTTCCCAGTTAGATTAATAGTAGTCCAAGGTGATAACCCCGATAAAGCAATGTTAGTTTTTCTGGTTTAAAGCACTGTTACTACTTTATAATCAATTTTTTCCCTAATACAGCTTTATTCTCTTAAATATTTTGTAAGCAACACAGAGTATGATTGTTGGTGTCAGGGCAGTATCATTGAAAAGTATGGTCCATTGTAAGATCTGTAGGGGGTGAGTCATTGAATCAACAGTCTACTGTTGCTAAGGCCACCAATGAGAAAGATGGAGTAACCTGCCTCTCTGTCAACATATTTCCCTCCCTTATACCCTGCAGCCTGTGGATCTTTGTGCATATACATAAATTCATGTAACTGTGAAGTATTGATTGCTTATGGAGTTTTATGAAAATCAGGAAATTTGTTGATTACTATCTGTTAAGTATATGTAATTTCATGTTCGTGTTTATTGTGGTTTGCAGGGTGCTTTCGCCTATTCTAGTAAATCATGTGGTTTTTATGCTAACTTGCTCACTTTAATGTATTTGCTTCCTGCATTCATGTATTCATACAAGCCAATGTGGCCATTGTAAGCATATTTTAAACCTAGAGTAATTAAAAAAAGAAACTTATCCAATAAGATTATATCTGTGTATTTATCACTCAGATATCTGCTTTTGCCTCTGAATCTCTGTTTGCAGCAGCATAAGCAGAAGAGTGGCTTTTTCTAGAGAGATTTGAAGAGCTATTTATAGATCTCTGCCAAAGCACCAAGCGTGGTGCTGTTGCTGCTGCTCCTATCTGTCTCTGCTCTTAACCGCTCCTGCTTCTGTTTCTCTCTCTCCATCTTCATTTGTTCCCTCTTCACCTGTTCTTAGTTTTCTGAACTCATTTTCTCATGATGTCTTCTACTCTGTGTTTGTCAGTTTTCTTTTTCCTTTACTGTCCTCCATTGCTTGCTTTGATGTAAATTATCGATCAAAGCAGAAGGGAAGTGACATGGTTATAAGTCAGGCCTCAGATTGGTACATCAGCTTGACTAACTTTAGTATACTTTGTTGCAAAGCTGGATGTTTTTTGCATTTGTTAGTAGCCTTTATTTAGTAAAAGATATGGCTCACAGTCCTCAGACCATGCAGAATCACAGTAGATAAGGTGGGTTTGCCTAAATAAAGGTGTTTTTGTAAAAACCTGTTATGACTGCTTTGAATATTTGCAGTGTAAATAACAACAGCTTTCCAAGTGTTTCATAATAGCTTTAGCTTAGCTATGCTGCATGCAGAAATGGCAGCATCTTGTAAGGTGGTTGTGTTCCCACTCAGTCTATCTGTGGTATCTTTGGCTACTGATCCTCACTCAGCCCCTCCCCTTTCTTCCTTCTTTCTAAGCCCTTCTCTTACTGATCTGTGAAAGAAGCTACCTGGCTGAAGAAGTGACAGGACAGGTTATGAGGCATTAGTCCATGCAATGCATTTTATCCCAGTCATGTTGTTAGCCTGAGACTAACCTTTTTTCAAGGCCATGCTAGGATTGTAGAATCATTGGTTGGGTAAGTCTGGTGTCTTAAATTAAGCAATGCTAGAAAAGATGTTCGATGCTAAACAGCTGTTTATTAAATTTCTCTGGCTGCTTATGTTTTGCAGGGCCCTCTCAAATGTTAGGTGATGCTACTAACCACTGAGCCACAGTACTGATCTTCTGCTCAGTGTTTCGACTTTAAAGGGAAATTTATTGTACAGTTAAGTGCATAAGTGTGTGGGCTATGGCACAATATTTGTAATTTTTCCTCTTTACACCACCACAGTGGATTTTAAATCAGATAGTCAAGATGTAAGTGAAGTGCAAACTTTTATTGTCACTACAAGGGGTTTAACAAACACATTGCATTAATTGTTTGGAATGTTTTGGCGTTTTGCATAATAACACATTTTCAGAGGCTCAAATGTGACTGGACTAACACAATTTGAAATATAAAAATGATCATTTTAAATACCTGGGCAAAGATGACGTGATTGTAGTGACTGCCTGAAGTCAAAAACCCCTGGACACCACTAAATCTCCCTTGAGATGCTCTGCCAGCCTGTTCTGCAGCCACCTTTAGTTGCTGCTTGTTTGTGGGTTTTTCTGCCTTCAGGTTTATCTTCAGTAGGTGAAAAGCATGCTTTGTTAAGTTGAGATCAGGTGGCTGGCTTGGCCACTGAAGAAACTCTTAAGTTGCATTTGTACCGTAGTCTGTTGTAATTCATTATCCATTCACTCCGTGGAGTGATGTTCAGTTTTGTAGGATTTGAGCAGAGACTATAGCCTTGTACACTTAGTTCATCCTCCTACTACTACTTTTATCATCATCAATAAACACTAGTGGACCGGTTCCACTGGCAACCATACATGCTCATTACAAGATTTGACAGATAATATGGCATGCTAAGGTAGGGCTGTTCGATGTAACGATATATATCGGATGACGATATATATCTATCGTCTATCGTTTCATTTTACGCTATCGTTTGTTTCATGGTGTCGCAAAATAAACAGTTTAGGCATTATTTTCTCATAGTTTTGATGGTCACTGTAGTGGCTATATTAATTTATTAAAGTTCTCTCTTTCTCTTATATTTAATATAACCACACAACAGACGGACAATCGCCTGTTTTTATGCGTTGTCGTTAGCAACAACGATGGTAAAACCATCGCATGTCCGCTTGTTTATTTTCCACATAAACCTTTCATAATAAAGCTCAAGATCCTGTTGAGACTTCTCAAAATAAACGGAATCATGTGAAAAAGTATGCAGAGTATTTACGGATGAGAAGCAAAAAGGAGCCGTCAGGTGCTAAAAAATAAACCTTAGACTCAAACGTTAGAACAGGCTTTCCCCCGCAGCACGCCGTGTAATAAATACAAATGTTGTATCGGCTGCTGTTTCCTATGTCTAAAAATGTGTAGTTTCATGCATCGGTTAAAACACTCGACTCCAGGTACACAACGCCCAGCTGGAAACACTTCAGCAACCCGAAATTCACAGAATTTACAGAAAATGTTAAATTTTTGTGATTTATATCGTTATCGGATGATAGATGTTTTATATCGGGATAAGAGATTTTAGTCATATCTCACAGCCCTACGCTAAGGATCATGAGTCATTTGTTACCTTTTCAGTTTGTCTTCCCTTCATTATAGTGCAAGGTGTGCTTGATTTAATTAATATATGTCCAAATATTTTTTCCCCCAGATCTGGGCAGGTTCTACGTTCAGGTTTTAGATGTTTTCTGGCAAACTGTATTCTAGCTTTCTTGTTGTTAAGTGTAATCCATGTATTGCACAACTGCTGTAAACCCTCTGTATTTAAATACCCTGTGCATCTCTTTTAAACTCTGACAGTGATACCTCTTTGAATATGCTTGAGTTAGGTAAATGTTGTGAAAGATATTTCTTAACCACGGAAAGAATTCTGCGATTATTTACTTCAGTTGGTTTCCACCCTTTTAGGGCGTTTCTGGTGTTGCTGAGCTGGTCAGTGATTTCTGCTGATTTTGCCATTTCTCAGTTTTTCTGTCTCTCATGGACAGGTTTATTTATTTTTGTACCTTAATTGACAGTATGTGACCAAATACCTCTTATTAAGAGTGAACAGTGAATAGTTATTATATGCACTTGAAAATAATCTCAGATTTTTGATGTTGAATTTGTCATCGCAAAATGAGGAATGAGGAACAGACTTCACCTGGCCATGAATCTGCATGTCAGTCAGTTGTCTAATTACTTTTGTGTCTTTGCAGAGGTGGCACTATGTATATCGTCAGCCTTAAAGCTGAACTCTGCACTGAAATCACATTTTGATAGTTTGATTCAAATTATGAAATAATAAATGAAATAAATATCGAGGATTGATGTGAGTCTAGATATATATTTGAACATAAACTGCCCTCTCCCAAAGCAGGAGAAAAGCATTACAGAACAACCTAATAATTACTACATGTACTAGTAACAAAGCTCAGAGTACCCAAGTTGCTGTTGGAGGGTTGTTTCTATGTTTCTGCGTGAACTTGTA